GCACACGCACACGCACACGCACACGCACACGCACACGCACACGCACACGCACACGCACACGCACACGCACACGCGCACGCACGCACGCACGCGCACCACCACCCACTACGCACACGCGCGCGGAGCCACAGGTCCGCTACGACACGCGTCCGCGGATAGAGAAAATCAGCGCCACGGTAGGGGATGGGAGGGAGGGGAAGGATGTCAGATGTTGACGCGAGCGCACCAAACCTGTCATCCACCCCCTCCTCCTCCTCCCCCTCCTCCCTCCTCCTCCTCCTCCTCCTCTCCTCCTCCTCCCTCCTCCTTCCTCCTCCTCCTCCCTCCCTCCTCCTCCTCCTCCCTCCTCCGCCTCCTCCATCCGCCTCCCTCCTCCTCGCCCCCCACCCCCTCCCCCCCCCCCGCCCCCTGTTCCTCCTCCTCTCCTCCTCCTCCTCCTCCTCCTCCTCCTCCTCCTCCTCCTCGGCCTCCTCCATCTTCCCCCCTCCTCGTCCGTCATTATTTTCCTCCCTCCGCCTCCTCCTCTCCTCTCCCCCCTCCTCCTCCACCCTTCTCCCCTCCTTCCTCACATCATCATCCCTCCTCCCCCTCCCTCCTTCCCCCCTCCTCCTCCCCTCCTCCCTCCTCCTCCTCCTCCTTCCTCCTCCTCCTCCTCCTCCTCCTCCTCCTCGCCTCCTCCTCCTCCTCCCCTCCTCCTCCTCGCCCTCCTCCTCTCCTCCTCCTCCTCCTCCTCCTCCTCCTCAATCTCCATCATCATCATCATCATCATCTCATCATCATCTCATCATCATCATCATCATCATCATCATCATCATCATCATCATCATCATCATCATCATCATCTCATCCTCATCCTCCCCCTCCTCCTCCTTCTTCCACCTCTCGCCCCTCCCTCCTCCTACCTCCTCCTCCTCCTCCGCCTCCTCCTCCTCCTCCTCCTCCTCCTCTCCCTCCTCCTCCTCCTCCTCCTCCTCCTCCTCCTCCTCCTCCTCCTCCTCCTCCTCCTCCTCCTCCCCTCCTCCTCTCCTCTCCTCCCCCCCCTTCTCCCTGCCTTCTCCCCCAAGTTTCAATATCCCACTCCCCCTCCTCCTCCATCCGCCCCCCACTCCTCCTCCCTCCTCCTCCTCCTCCTCTCGCTTTTCGCTCCTGTCCTTGATGCTCGAGCTGTTGGCCATGCGCCGCGCTTTCAAGTTCGCGAGCTCCCCTGTCAAGTATTTCTCCGAAGCGGTTCCGAAAAGGCCGGCGGCCTCGCGAGTGAACTTGGAGCGGGAATCTGCATCCATCATGGTGAGGCTGTCACCCGTGTCCTTCAACGCGCGCCTGGACTTCGCGCCGTTGCACGGCTTGCAACGGAACGACCCTGGCCGCGGCTCGCCACGAGCGGACTTCGCCACGCCCAGCTTGACTCCTCGACTGGCTGCGCCGCTGGAGCCGCACTTCCCGACCCGCGCGCGGGTTGCGCCGCTGCAGCCGCAGCGCCCGCGGGCGGGCCCGCCGCTGCTGCGCGGCCACCCATCGCGGGTGCGCCCTTCGGCGCCGCGCTGCAAGGGGCAAGGGCAACCGCCTGCAGAAACCTCGACCGGCGAGCCGAGTCCGAACAGCAACTCGGGCCTGAATGACAGCGCGCTGCACGCCAGTCGTAAGAAGTAAATAGACACATGATGTAGGAAGGCTTTGAAAATAGATTGGGCCCTGGCCGGCCCTGGCGTTGGGCGATTGAAAGCGGCGGCCATCGATTCTCGAAGTAGGAAAGCGCTTCAAGTGGTAGATTGGGGCCAGGGGATCCAACGAAGGTTTTTTTTGTTTGTCCGGCGGGCGCTGGCCGAGCGAGCGGGCGCCGACGCGCCGTGCCCAGGACAGGCCACCTGCACCGAATTCGGGGGGGAGGGCAGGGCCCCCACGACCCCGGCCAGCACCGGGGAGCGCGCGGCAGCGGGATGCTGGGGGAGCGTTGCCTCCGCGAACGTCATTGACAACGCTCGCCTCAGACCAGGAGGTGCCACCGACCACTCTGCGCACCCTAGCGGAGCGGGTGGGCCCAGGCAGCGCGGCTTGCCCACCGCGGCGGGTACTCTGAAAATTTCCCCGGCCTGACGGCAGGGACCCAACGAAGGCCCCGTAGGACCGCCCGCCTGCGTCATCCACCACCCAGCACAACGCTTCGCGGCCCCACTGGGGGGCTCCACCGAAAACCCCAGCGGGGCCACCCGCGCGCGTCATCCACCACCCAGCACAGCGCTTCGCGACCCCGCAGGGGCCCCACCGCAGGCCCCAATGGGACCGCTCGCATGCGTCGTTCACCACCCATACACAGCGCTTCGCGACCCCATAGGGGGCTCCACCGAAAGCTCCAGCGGGCCCGCCCGCATGCGTCACCCACCACCCAGCACGGCGTTTCGTGGCCCCGTAGTATCGCCCGCATGCGCCACCCACCACCCAGCACAGAGCTTCGCGGCCCCATAGAGGGCTCCACAAAATGCCCCAGTTGGGCCGCCCGCGTGCGTCATCCACCACCCATGGGTAATGAGACGAAAGGTCACGTTGATCTCCCATCTCCTCCTTTCTTCCCCCCTCCTTCCATGCCAACTGAACTCCTCCCCCGAGTGTTCCTCCTCCTCCGCTTCATGATCTTCATCCTCCTCATCTTCCTGCTCCTCATCCGCCTTGTCTTCCTCGGCATCTTATCATCGCGCGCTTGGATCTGAGCGAGGTCGGGCTGAGCGCGGGTGGATCTGATTCCGAGAATCTGAATTGCGAGGCAAACCCACGCGGCAAGTTAACGGGGTTAGTGCACAAAAATACGCGTTGCGCTGCTGTTTGCGCGTTGGGCAGTAATGAGGAGCGCGCGCTATGTCAGGCAGAATGGTTGGACGTGGCGACGTGGTC